TTTAAAAAAAAAAGTGGTTTTTTTTTTTTTATAACTCATTAAGTCATCTTGAAGGCTTCTTACTTTCACATTGTTTTGCACATTGTGTGTGAGAGAGAAAGTCAGACAGACAGACAGAGGCAGAGTGTATGGTACACTCAGAGGACAATCTTTAGGAGTCGGCTCTCTCCTACCATGTGGGTTATATGATTCAAAGCCATGCTGGATGCAAGTGGCTCTACCCACAGAACCATCTTACCAGCTCCTTCCATGTTTTTAAACCTTGCTTATAAATTGAGTGTGTATCTGATGGTCTCCTGAAATCCTGGGAGGGAAAGGATCAGGAATCCAAGGTCATCCTTGGCTTCATAGGCTAACCTAGATTTTGTGTGTCCCTACAATTTATTTATTTTTTATGTGCATTGGTGTTTTGCCTACATGTATGCCTGTGAGGCTGCTGCATCCCCCCAGAACTGGAGTTAATAGACAGTTGTGAGCCGCTGTGTGGGTGTTAAGAACAACCAGTGTTCTTAACCTCTGAGCCCTCTCTTCCAGCCTTTGAGTGTCCCTATCTTGAAACCAAAAGCTTCTGTTCCGTTCAAAATAGCTTGAGGACATTTCCAGGGCTTGTAACCACTCTGGATATGAGTCATTCCTATGTCCAGGGCATCCAGCCTGGGAGTGACACCTGCCCTCTGGTCATACAGTAATTGTCTCCCTTATCAGATCTAGGCTTGAAGTCTTGTGTTTTCAATGGTTGTATTCAAGGAATGCTCATTTTCCTAGAAAATGGCCTCAAGTTCAAGTTTACAGATGCTGTACCTTCTTGTTCTTTTGGATAAGATAAAGGGCAGCAAGAGTATTCATTCTGGCCAGGCTGTGGTGGCAATTGCCTTTAATCCCAGCACTAGGGAAGCAGAGGCAGGTGGATCTCTGTGTTTGACGTCAGCCTGGTCTATAGAGCTAGTTTCAGGACAGCCAGGGCTACACAGAGAAACCCTGTCTTGAGAAAAAAAAAATACTGATTCTGGCTTTTCTTTTTACTTTTTTTACACATGTATGTGTACGAGGTAGGCATACCTGTGTGTGCATGTGTGTACATGTGCATATGCTGGCCAGAGGTAATATCAAGAGTCTTAGCTTGTTCACCACCTTATTTATTGAGACAGACTCTCCCAATTGAACCCAGAGGTTGCCAATATGGCAAGTCAGCCAGCTTGCTAAGGGACTCCTGTTATAGAGATCTACCTGCCTCTGTCTGCCTCCTGAGTGCTGGGAGATTAAAGGAGTGTGCTGCCAAAACCCAGTTGGAGAAAATTTTTTCTTTTCTTTTCCCGCTAGAACTCCAGCTATAGATCAGGCTGGCCTTCAACTCACAGAGATCCACCTGCCTCTACCTTGTGAGTGTGGGGATTAAAGGCATGAGCCACCATAGCCCGGATGAAATTCTTTTTTTTTTTTTTTTTTGGTTTTTCGAGACAGGGTTTCTCTGTGGCTTTGGAGGTTGTCCTGGAACCCACTTTGTAGACCAGGCTGGCCTCGAACTCACAGAGACCCGCCTGCCTCTGCCTCCCGAGTGCTGGGATTAAAGGCGTGCGCCACCAACGCCTGGCCCCGGATGAAATTCTTTTAAGTGAAACATTTCAATTTAATTGAAAAGTCAGGATGTGTACATATCTGTAACCCTAAACTTTCAGGAGACGTAGGCAAGGAGGATGGAATGGTTAAAGACTTCCTGGACTACAATGCTGAGTTGGAGAACAGTCTGGGCGATTTAGTGAGACCCAGCCTCGAAAGAATATGTAAATAAAGGTCTGAGGAGATAGTTCGATGGTGGATTGCTTTGCCTAGTATGCTGGAGGTCCTGGGTTCAATTTCTATCTCTAAAGAAAGAAAGAAAGAAAGAAAGAAAGAAAGAAAAAAGACAAAAAAAAAAAACACCTAAGATTTACAACAAGGAGTCCTTTATTAAACTGTGAAGGAAAATGTTTATCTTCAGTATGCAAAGATTATCGTCAAGATGTTTATGTAAGCCTTCGATGTTGGCACTCAGGAAGCAGAGGCAGGCGGGACCAGCCTGGTCTACAGAGTGAGTTCTGGGACAGCCAAAGCTACACAGAGAAACCTTGTCTCGAAAAACAGGGGTGGGGTTGTGGGGATGGGAAGAAAAAGGTATTTGTATGATGAAGATGAAAAGGATTTCAGTTTTGGGGGTTGAAAACATGAACAGAAAACTTGTTTGGATTGTCGGCAATTGTGATTTGTCAAGATGTACTACGTTATCTACGGAGATTTCAGACCTGGCATTGTAATGCATAATCCCAGTCCTCAGAGGCTGATGAATAAGGGTCCAAAGTTGGAGGCCAGCTTGGGCTACAGAGTGAGACCTATTTCAAAGCTAAAACAAAACAATGACATCCAGCAAGTCTTCTCCTGAAAGGACTGATCCTGTGTAAGAGACCCTTTACTGCAGTAAGAGATGGTTACATAGGAACGAGTTTGGACTGGAGAGGTACCGCTTGCTCAAGAAGGAGTTTGAGTACATTTCCAGCAGTGGATGCTATCCAAAGCCAGTCTTTCCCTGTCAGGAAAGTGGGCAGAAGGGTATGGACAACTTTAGTGTTTTGAGTGTTCATATAGGTGCTATGATAGAATATTGTTACAAAAGGTTTACCATTATTAGTTCTATTATTATTAAATGCAAGGTCTCCTATATCCCTGGCTGGTTTCTGTCTGTGTGGCAGAGCATGATGTTGAATTTCTTATCTTCCTGCCTCTATCTACCAAGGTCTGGGATTACAGATGTGTCCCACCATATCTGGTTCATGTAGTGTGAGGGTAGGACTTTGTGCATGCTAGGCAATCTCTGTACCAACTAAGCTACGTCCTGGTCCTAAATCTTCAACTTTACTACAATGTACTTATTTATTTATTGGCTTTTGAGACAGGGTTTCTTTGTAGCTTGGAGCCTGTCCTGGCATTCCTGGCCTCGAACTCAGGAGATCTGCCTGCCTCTGCCTCTGGAGTGTTGGAATTAAAGGCATGCACCAACACCAACTACCTGGCTAGTATTACTTATTTTTAATCTTATGTGTCTAATTAAAAAAAGCTACTTTGGCTGAGAGCGGCGGTGGTGAACGCCTTTAGTCCCAGCACTCAGCAGGCAGAGGCAGGTGGATCTCTATGAGTTCGAGGCCAGTCTGGTCTACAGAATGAGTAGCCGAATAGGCTCCAAAGCTATACAGAGAAACCCGGTCTCGAAAAACCAAAACCAAAAAAAAAAAAAAAAAAAAAAAAGCAACTTTGTGACGTTTCCTTTTACCATGCAGCCCTGGCAGGCCTGAATTCTGCACTTGAACAAGTCTGACCTCTAACTTATGTATCCATCCTCCTGCCTCTACTGCCTGAGTGCTGGAATTTCGGATGTTTCACAACATCCTATAGAACTATTGTCCTAAGCATGTATAGGAAAAAATAGTATGTAAGTTTGAACTGATTTAATTTCAGGCATGGATCTCAGAACATAGCCCCGCTGCAGAGGAGCAGGACTCCTGTTCCGGGAGTTTGGAATTTGGTTACATATTCCAAAGACCAGTGAAATCCAAGTGCAGAGAGAAAGTTGTTCTTTTGATAACTTAATGAATAGCTCTGGACAGACTCGACAGAGTTGAGTCAGTCACAATAGGATTAGGCAAGGAAACAAAGGGTGTAAATATTGTTAGGGGAAAATCGTAAAAAAACGTAGGCGGCTTCTGTAATCAGATTGCTTCCCAGGGATCCTTAAAGACTTTGTGGAGTGCAAAGAAATCCAACATGGAGATTCTAGATGAGGCTTTGTGGGTGCGGTTTCATGCAAGAAAGTCGACCAGGGAACGCCAATCCTTGAACCCGAATTCAAAGGCAGGGTTTTGGAACTACATCAAAAGACTGGCTTGCACGGAAAGTTTTCCAGCAAGCGACAAAGAGGCTGGGAGGCTGGAAAAAGCCTTGTGGCCGCCACCTACCGAGAAGCAGCGGGTGGGGGAGGGCGCCCGAATATTCGGCTGGCGTAGGGGGTGGGCAGAAAAAGGAAAAAACAAACAAAACAAACGAACAAACACCACAAATCCACTCGATTTAGTGCTCTGCATTAACAAATTCTTCAGACACGGGCTTTTTAAACTTTTGAGTTTAACTTAAGACGAACAGTTTTTACTCTGTAAAGTTGCTTATCTTTACCCAATAGTTGAGTAAAAATAAATACAATGGACGGAGGAGGGGCTTTAAGTTAAATCTCTTTGTAGTTGTGGGAACACTCGGCATTTTCCCAGTTTTCTTTCTAACTGTAGAGGTGTGCAAAGACTCGAGACGGGAGAAATAGAAATCACGAGTTACCCACCCCCTCCCATCCGTTGTCTGACCCAAGTTAGGGCAAGTTCGTTCTGGTTGCTTCTAAGGCCAGCTTTGAAAACATTGAGTTCTTTGTGTACCGGAGCTGGGGGGGACTTCCCTCTGCAAACCAGGCGACAGTCCAGCCCCGGGGATCCCCTGGTCTTTGCAATGTCCCCAACTTTGCAATTTGCAAGGGGATGTAGGTTGCAAAGAGTTATTTAAGTGGAAGCTATGGCCTGCAGCAGAAGCAAGGTGGTGAGGACACACTGACGATCTGGGTCTCCGTTTCTTTCCACCCCACTCCCCTCCCCCATCCGGGCGGCCGCGCAGGCCCCAGGTGCAGCCATGTTCTCGCTCCCACCATCCGCGCTCCTCCATCGACAGTCCTAGCCGGAGAGGGCCGGGCGCCGCGGCGCTTCGGCTCGGCCTAAAGGGGGGCGGTGGGGAAAGAGAATCTGGGTTCATCGCGCAAGGCCGTCTGGGAGTTATAGTTCGGGGTACCCACCCGTCGCGTAGGTGAGCGCCAGTGCGGAACTACAACTCCCGGTGGGCGGTGCTGCTCGTGCGCACGCGCAGCGGCACCTTCGAGGAACAAAAAAAAAAAAAGCAAAAAAAAAAAGGGGGAAAAAAAGGAGGAGGAGGAGGAGGGTGAGAGAGAAGCTCGGAGAGCAGAGAAAAGGGGGCACCGGCGGCCCCCCCCCCGCTCCCCTGCACGCGCTCGCCGCCCGCCTGCCGCGGTCACCCCCGGGCTCCGTCCCTCGGCTTCCCCCCCGCAGCGCGAGGCGATCCGAGCGAGGCCCCGCCGGGGGCGGCCATGCGGCGGTGACAGGAGCGCGGCCGAGACGCACGGGGCCCCCCTCGCCCTCTCACCTCCACCCGGGTCGCCAGCTCGCCTCGGCCGAGGCCCCTCCGGCCTAACACCCGCCTGCCGCCCGCGTCCCCCCTCCCCGAGCCTCCCCGGCTGCACTTCGGGTGAGTCCCCCGCCGCCGCCGCCTTCGGATGCCCCTTCCCTCGCGTCCCCTCCAGCCTCGCTCGGGGTGCCATGGCGAACCGGGGTGGGGGCGTCTTTATTGCACACGCCGCCCCCCCGCCGCCGGGTCCGCGCGCCCCGACCGGGGCGTGAGAGTTGGGGGGTGGATTCGCCTGGCGCCTTGTGAGTGGCGATGGGACGACTTCGGGGTGAGGAGGGCGGACGCGCCGTGACCCCCCTCCGCACCCCAAAGTCCGCTCTACTTGGGGGGGAACCTCGGCGGCGGGCGCGACGCGGCTGCGGGAGGGGGGGAGGGGGCGGCCGAGGCGGGGGGCAGGCGACAGTTGCACGCGCGCCCCCGTGGCGCGTGGGGGGGCAGGGAGCCCTGCGCGTGCGCAGAGTGCGCGCCCCCCCTCTTCGCGCGCGCGCCCGTCTGTGTGTGAGGCGGCGGTCCGGGGAGGAGGGAGGGGGCGCGTCTCGGGAGGGGTGGTCTCGCGCGAGCCGCCCCGCGCGCGTGAACGGGAGGTCGGGTGAGCGAACCCCGCGGAGGAGGGGGGGGGTCCGCGCAGCCTTCTCCTTCGCTCTGATTGGCCGAGAGGGCTTTCCGGGCGGGGGGCGCGCCCCCTGTCGCGCGCGGTGCCAAGGGCCCCTCCTGAGCCCCGTGGGGTCGCGCTCGGTGTGTGTGTGCGCGCTTCTGTGTGCGTGTGCGTGCGAGTGTGTGTATCTGGGGCTCGCGGCTCCTAGGGCAGCAGATCGCGCGCTATTGGCCGGCGGGCACGACGGGGGCGGGGCGTCGGTGCCCTGGAAACTGCGGCGGGGGCCCTGGTAGGGGGCGGGGGCCCTGGCAGGGGGGCGGGGAGCTACTGGGCTCCGTAGCCAGCGCCAGCGCCCGCCCTGGCCGGCTGGCGCTCCGCCCTGCTCCCAGGTGGAGAGAGAGAGGCCAGCGGTGTGGGCTTTGTCCGGAGCTGTTGGCTTAGGGATCCCGCCGGGCCACTACTTTTTTTTTTGGCGGGGGAAGGGGGAGTAGGGGGAAAGGAGATGGAAATAAACACAATGACCGGAAGGAAGACTTTAGCCTTGAGGCTATGGAAATAATCAGTCTGGCTTGGGCAAGTACCCAGACGTCGGGGTTAAAGAGAAGGGATGGAAAAAAAAGTTTACCCCTGCACCTCCATTTCTTTTCCAAGTTTTACCTTTTATTGGGGGGTGCGGGAAACTTCAGTATGCATCCTTGGTTGGTCTGGAACTCATAGAGCTCCGCCTGCCTCGGCCTCGCGGGTGCTGGGATTAAAGGCCAGTGCAACCACGTCCTGCCCAAGTTTTGTTTATTATTTTTTAATTTTTAAGTAAGGCATTTTGTAGCTCAGGCTGTCATGGGACTCACTTTGTAGTTGAGTTTCCGATTCCTCTGTCTTCACCTTATGAGTGCTGGTCACAGATCTAGCTCACTCACAGGTTTTGCCCGTTAGTACATCCCGGTGCCTCACGGCTTTGTGCTCCTTGGCTGCCGAGGGTGCAGATCTGAGGAGGTGCTGGTGGATTGCCTGCCGTGTTTGGGAACCGGAGGTGAAGCGGGAGGCCATTGCATCTAGGCTGCTTGTGTGCTAGCGACTGGCTCAGCCTGCCTGATGTCTTTGGGCGTTTCCAGGGCAAAGGGGAAGCTAGTTTGCAAATAAAGGGGGGGAGTGCAGGTGCGGTACCCACAAGCCCCAGGTTTCGGATGCGGAATGGCTGATAATTCCTACAGCAGGTTTATTTTTTTGGAAGTCTTTTGCCTCGGGCTCCTTTGTTGCCTGAGTCCCTGGATTTTGCCTCACACCCTGGGGGCACGGAAAACTTTCTCACTCGTCTGCGGTCATTTCTGTAAGGCCTTTTATGTTGTTGGGTCATGAGTTTTGTTTTTGTTTTTTTGTTTTTTTTTGCCCTGTTAAAATGTGGATCACTTTCTCTTGTCCCTTGGGTCGTCCTTGGGTAAGGGGCATGCTAACACCCATATTTACCATTTTGGAGGGTGAAACTTAGTAGCATGCACCTTAATGCAAGCATTCTCCTGAGCAAAGCTCCCAGCGCCTTGAGGATGTGCTGGCGTTCTACCATTAAGTCACACTTCACCCCTGTTTTACTTTTTGAAATAGAGTCACTAAGTTGTCCAGGTTGACTTTGATTACATCTGTAGCCAGGGTCATCTTTAAACTTGGCAATTCCCCTGTCTCAACTGCTTGAATAGCTGGGATGATGGACCTTAGGGGTTAGGTTTTGTCTTTGTCTCTTTACTTTTTTAAAAAATTTATATATTTATTTTACATCCCAGCTGCAGTTTCCTTTTCCTCCCCTCAACCCGCCACCCTCTCCCCCACCTTCCACCTCCCTCCACTCCCCCATTTCTGTTCAGGGAAGGGCAAGTCTCCCATGGATATCAACAAAACATGGCATATTAAACTTGCAGTAAGACTAGTACCTTCCCATGTATTAAGGCTGGGTAAGGCAACCCAATTTGAGGAGTGGCAAACTTAGGTGGCAAACTCTGGTTAGGTCCCTGTCTCCTCTGCCAGGTGCCCAGTATCTAGTGCCAGAGCAGCTGTATGTTTTCAGTGGCCGGTGTATACTCCTTAAACACTTCATGAAATTCCATTTGTAGGAAGTCCAATTATAAAGAAGTCAGGTACTTTCTCTGTTATCAGGGGCCATGTGACTTTTCATCTGGGAGCCACTGATTCTCTGTCCCATGTCTGCTTCTGTAGAGGACTGATGATGTCGTTGAGAGGTTGTGGTTCTGCGGGTCTGGGTTGAGACCTTGGCCATGCCTCTAATTGTGTGTAGCAGTCCTGCCTCAGCACCCTGAGTGCTTAGATTGTAGTCATATGCCACAATAACTTGTTTAAGAACAGGATCCAGCTGGGCATTGGTGGCGCATGCCTTTAATGCCAGCATTTGGGAGGCAGAGGCAGCAGCCTGGTATAGAGTGAGTTCCAGGACAGACTCCAAAGCTACAGAAAACCTTGTCTCAGAAAAACGAAAACAAAACAAACAAAAAACAGAACTAACTAAAAGCATTGGTTTACTCAAAACTTGGTATCCTTGAGAGTCAACAAGGATTGAATGAGGACCTCAGCCCATTCTGAGAGCTCTTCTGCGAGCCACACCCCAGCCCCCATCACAGGCAGATGTAATAAGCTACTGGAGCTCTTTATACACAGCCATGTTCCCCCCTAGTGAAATGTATGCCTGGTTTTGTTCGATGTTGACTTTTGTGTTGCCTAGGTTTTGGACAGACTGAGCTACATCCTGGCCCTGGTCTTAGGTTTTAAAATTACAATATCATTTATGGTTTTGACTAAGGAGGATGGCAACATAAGCCCTATGATTACAGAAGAAAAAGGACAGGGAAACCAAGCGTATAAAACTCATTAACTTCGCCCGGCATTGGTGGCACACGCCTTTAATCTCAACACTTGGGAGACAGAGGCAGGCGGATCTCTGAGTTCGAGACCAACCTGGTCTACAGAGCCTGTTCCAGGACAGGCTTCAAAGCTACACAGAGAAACCCTGTCTAGAAAACCAAACCAAACCAAACCAAAACTCATTAACTTCATGCATATCCCACGCCCCTCCCATAGGGGTTCTCTGTAGTCCTGGTGGTCCTGGAAGTCGCTCTGTAGACTGGCCTCAAAAGTCAGATCCACCTGCCTCTGCCTCCTGAGTGATGGCATTAAAGGCGTGTGTCACCATGCCCAGCTATTTGTTTGAATGTTTCCTTTGGGAAGAATTTGCATGGATCTGGGCAAATCTCTTCTACCACGGAAGTACCATGTAGAAGTGTTGGCTCCTTCCTGAAGGATGCCACAGGATGCGTTTTCCAAGTGATGATCTGGGTCCTCACACATGCTGAGCCAGAGCAAAGGCTCCCCCACTGAGTGTCAACCCTAACTACTTTTTGTTGTTTCCACCTTTTCTCCCTTGACTATTTATAAGACTATTCAAACAAATATATAAAATTAGGTTAGATCCAACCACACACTTAAGAAACCATATTCACAGAAAAAAGGAGTTGGCTCAGTTGTTGGTGCTTGCCAGGCAAGCATACGGCCTGGGGCCTGCTCTTCAACACCCACATAGGAAAGTCAGCTGCTGCAGCATCACCACTCTGAGCCTGCTGGGGAGGTGAGGATGACAGCATCCCTGCCGCCACCACCCAGGGCTGGCTGCATACCCACGCTAGCTGAGCCTGTGAATTCCAGGTTCAGTGAAAGACTGCCCCAGAAAGGTGCATGACACTAAGGTATGGCTTAACTTCAGCCGCCACAGTTCTGGAGATGCATATGATTCAGCAGAGTGCATTCACTGCCACAAGTTTTCGTGTTGGTTAAGTATACATCTAAACACCTACAGCCAGTGTTTACAAAATGCCAGTTCGCGGCTTGAGAGATGGCTCTCTTGCTCCCTGTTCTTCCAGAGGAGCTGCTTCTGTTCCCAGCACCCATGCATGGCAGTCACAGCCTGTAACCCTGGCCCTGGGGTGTCTTGGTACCCTCCTTTGGTCTCTTCAGGCAGCTGAGTCATGTGTCTGTCATACATAGACATGCATTTCCTCATGAATAAAAGTAAATAACCCTCCTTCCCAGACAGGGTTTCTCTGTGTAGCCTTAGCTGTCCTAGAACTCACTCTGTAGACCAGGCTGGCCTCGAACTCACAGAGATCCTCCTGCCTCTGCCTCCTGAGTGCTGGGATTAAAGATGTGTACCACCACCGCCCAGTGTAAAGATAAATTTTAAAAAATAAGAAATTCAGCTATGTCTTGGAAACTATGTAAGATGACATGTTAAGCATAAAAAAGGAGAAGAGATGAAAATAAATATACCACCATGCACAAATATGCCACTAGTCATGGAAAAGCTAAAATAACTACTAACTCACATAATAAGACTTTGGAAAAAGCTGTGTTGTTTAGGCATTGAAGAGGCATATCTTGACCAAAGGTCAATTCAGAAGGAAGCTTACAT